AGGCATAGTTGGCCTGAGCAGAGACAAATAATAACTTATTTCAAAACCGCTAACAAGCTCCACATAAACAGAAGTGCGTTAAGCAGGCTACTAGCGTTAGCAATGCTAACCAGGCTGAGCTAACGAGCTAGCTGGCTAATGCTAGGCCCACTTCCACTGGTTCATTACTACATTATTCCCCAGTTGTGATCTTGCACTTTATCCTGTGTTTACCTCAGAAAGGCAGGGGTGAAGAAAGACAGCAGGCCTCTCCGGTGAATCCCTCAGGTCGTGTATCCAAAGCCAGATATATCCTTTGATGAAGCTAACGATGAGGTTAAACGCTCCTTCTTCCCACCAGCAGCAAGTCAAGTGTTTGCACCTAAGTAACAGCAGCTAGCACGTTAGCCGGAGGAGCTAACTCTCCTGTGTGATGTTAGCATGCTAGTAAAACACTGCTAACGTTAGCTGCTCTGTTGGTCGACCCTCTGACTCTGTTCCCTCTCTGGGAGACATGTGAAAGCGTCCGATCATTAAACAGGGGCAACACATCCACTGGGACCAAAGAGCGGGCGGGGTGTGAGTGATTTAGCCGTTCACACGCTCCTCAACAGCCGCCTGATTTGTTCGTCTCCTCCTGACTCTCTACCGACTGGAGAGAGTGGCTGTCGCAACGTGATGACGGCACGGTTTTGTTTGGTCGTGGGCGCTCGAATTTGATGTGATAACTCCCTGGATGACATCCATGTGAAAGAATAACACTGTAATAAATGCTGGGTATATTTAAATATACTACACCTAATACTATATACAAATGTATTAATGAATAGAAAAACTAATCCGAACATTTCACAACAAAGACAATAATTGTAATTATACATAAATAAATACATATCTGTGGAAATGTGATAAATGAGACAAATGGAATTGCTGAAACAGCTTTTTCCAAAATGACACCCATTACTCAAATTAAAAAGAAAGATCTTGGAGGAAATAATGGGAGGGGGGACACTCCATATACACATTTGCATGGTGTCACATACATTCATGCTGGTGGAAAACCTAAACCTAATTCTATCCAGCATGATGTGCCTCATTTATTCATAGGCACCAAAAAAAGCAAGTTATCGTGCATTACAGTTCCCGGCCGGCAGTGCCAGCCATGGTTAGCTTTGGCTCGGTCATTTTCATGCCCCGTATCTGGATCCTCAGGGAGAGTCTGAGAGCCTGAGATATCACTAAGCACCAAACATGTGATCCTGAGGACTGTGGATTTGAGACTGGCATCTGGTCAATCAATGCTGAAAAGCAGACCCTGGAAACAAAGAAGGACTGTAAATATGCTCACGTTGTCTCTGTAGCTCATGTGCTTTTATGAAAATTGCTCCTGTAAGCAGACTCCTCACTGAAGGCCTGAGCTTTTTATTGGAGTCATCTCTCTCTATGTGCTCTCTATTCACCGGATAATCCTGTTGTATGTGTTCATGGGCTATAGAATTAATGAGATTGTATCTCAATATTTCCACAAAGAAACACAACCGCAGATAATTTTTTAACAGACCTGAATCATCAGACCATGTTTTATGAAACTACTTTCATTCATTTAGCTGTTTTGTTTTGTCAGTTGTATTCAGTTAAATCAGCTGTATTTCCTTGCTATAATTTGACTGTATGGTGACATTAATATGGACATTGGTGATTACTATCTGTAATGAAAAAAACATATAAAATGCACAGTTTTTATTTAATTGTATTGTATATGAATATATTTGTATGCATCATTCATTTTTCTTGGGAATCTAATATAAAAAAGTGTTAAAATACAAATAGTTATTCGTGTCCCAGAGTTCCCATACAAGATTGTCTAAAAGTAACCTTTTAAAATAAAGAAATTATTGTGATTTTCCTTAATTGTTTATTTTGAGGGTTTAAAGGGGTCAGCATCCAGTACAAAAATATACATATCAATAGACCTTATTTGTTTAACACAACTGTTTGGTGACCCTTCACATTTTTGAGACCCTCAGGAGCTGGGAACCTTATCGTTTTTTTCAAGAGCTCCTAGAAATCCTGCATTTCATTCTTGTAAGGAATATGGTTGAATTGTAATTATTCATTCGTTTTTTTACGTACGTCCAAGTCTAAAATATCTTTGGTCTCACCATTTAAAATTCCTATAATATGTAACCGTCAATCATACAATGTAAGATAAATGCTTCAGATCCCCTAGACTTCCTGGGAAAAAGTCTGGAGGACATGACCTCAGCTTCAGCCCGATCGATGTGTTTTTATCAAATGTTTTTCCAAATGGTGCAAGAAGCGGTCTTTCATAAGAGGCTGTGGAAAGTTTCACACACTTTCAATTTTCTCATCAAGACTCTACAAAGGAGCAAACTCAAAAATATTGTGAAGTAAGTCACACACACACACACACACACACACACACACACACACACACACACACACACACACACACACACACACACACACACACACACACACACACACACACACACACACACACACACACACACACACACACACACACACACACACACACACACACACACACACACACACACACACACACACACACACACACACACACACACTCACTCACTCCCTGGTGCACGCTGTATTTTCCACTCAAAGATTGCCCAAGAACGGCTGAATGTGGTGATTGCGACAGACGGACGATGCTCGGTAACATCGCAGCTCTTGAAGGCAAACAAACAGAAATGGAGCTGATCGAGTGGCAGCAACAGGGCCTGCTGGGACACTGATTCAGTCTTCAAAGGTTGATCAATTCAGAGATGGGTCACTGAAAATATGATGTTAAGATTGCATCCTCGAGGGGATTACATCACATTTCTATTCACTGAGACACACATGGCTTTTAAAGGAATACTTTAGTCACAAAGATGACTATCAGTTCAACAAGTAGCCTGTTAGCTGGAATCCGAGAGGAACACTTTGTTTCTCTTGCATGACTTCAGGATAAACAAAGAATGGAAGAACATGAGAAAAAGTCTTGATGAATGGAAGTAAAAAGGAGCCACATTTAACAACAGCAAAACTGTTTAGAAACTCTCACACAACTCCTGCAGCATATTGCAAGATTCACTTCTCCAGTCATGTTTACTTCCCAATCACATGCATATTTTCTACAACATTTAAAACACTCACACAGACAGAGCATGCCTGTGCAAGAGTACTGTTAATGCCAAAGTATGTTTTTTGTTTTGGGAAGTAATGAGCACATGACTGGAAAAATGACACTTTGATTACCCTGCAAGTTTTGTGGGAGTTTTTAGATGTTTTGATATAGTTGTGCTGCTGTTTAACAAACCTAATTTACTTCCAATCATCAAAACATTTCCCGGTTTTTCTTGAATACAATGTTCAACATGGAGGCATTCATGTACCTTAAATCAGAAATATAATAAAAACATCCTGGTGTGAGATTCTGTGCATATTTTCCCACAGTCTTGTTTGGCATTTAAACCAGTTTAGCTAGAATCTGGCGCAATGTAAACTGTATGAGACTCACACCGCCCTGCACTCAGTGAGAGAAACCCAGCAGCTGCTGCTGTACAGCATCTGAGGGTAGGAGTGGAGAGTAGGTCTAAATGGGTTTGAATTTTTATTTAGGTGCTTACAATAAAAAGGACCATATTTTGATTGCAATGCACTTAAACAAAATGTAATTCCTTCTCACAAGGCTATTAATAGACAGTGTAAAAGCCATTTTGTAACACAAGCGGACAAAGAAAGGACAAATTACACCAATCCTGAGTTAAACACTGTGGGTAAAACGAATTCCAGTTCACTAACATAACAAAAACTCATTTAAAATCAGGGTTAACTCTCTGATAAAAGTCTGTTTTTATTGTCAGTCTGACTTATTTATTCAGTCTTGTCATTCGGCAACCTCAGGGCTCTGACTGCGAGTTTTTAAGTCTAGACTAGAAAACAAATACAATAACTCTGAATGACGATATATGCATCGGCTCATGTAGCACTTGGAAAGACCAAGTGCTACTGAGGTGTCCCTGAGCAAGGCACCGTTCCCTCCCCGAGCGCCGTACATAATGGCAGCCTGCTCCTAACACTAGGATGGGTCAAATGCAGAGAAACCGTTTTGTTATAGTACCTGTACTACATAATGACAATAAGTTGAATCTTCAATCTTCTTCTTCAATGTGGGGCTGAAAGATCAAAAATAAGCCAAGAAAGAATGCCTCAAGTAGCCATAAGAGAGTCTGAAAAGTCTCTGATTCAGGTAAACATATTTCAAACTGTTGTAGAATACAAGTCTCCCAGCTTTTAACCTGCATGACGCAAAATGTGTTATTTTTTCAGACAGACAGAGCTTCTCCAAGGCCACAGAAGACATTATACATCTATTTTGACAAACTGCAGAGCACTAAACACACCAAGTGAAGAAATAAACGTTATTGAGCATTTTCTGTTAGCCCAAAACTGTGGAGAAGTTCGCCACAAACGATTACATTTTCCCTGCCTCCAATACCTTTAAAACCAGAAGACCCACATCTTTTCTTAAGCAGAAGTTTCTTCATGATTGGCCTGACGACACATTTTATTTAATTATATTTTATAAAATGTAAACCAATATTCTTCGCTCTCATTCGATGACTTATATTCTCTTATTTATGTATTTTTATTAAATCACCCCAGAGTTTCACTGAATCATATTCACGCAATGCACTTAGGTTAGTATTTCTTATTTTTAAAATCTATTAAAAAACGTGACTAAAGAAACAGGTCTAAAATGTAACCAGACAAACGTTTAGGTATGATTTCAGATACCTAAATCACTTCCAAACTAAAGACAACAGGCTTGAAATATCTGTGTAAAAGGTACCTCAGTATTTCCTTGTATGCCTTACTAGTGGTTTATGAAAATGCCTGTTTAGTCAGCAGTGACCGGCCAGACCTCACCAGGCGAGACATTAAAATGCTGTCTAGAAATCTAATGAGAGAAAGAGAGACAATGGAGCGAGTCTTTCTCATTTGTATTCATTGGTTTGTACGGCCTGTCTGCTCTCGCTCCCTCAGACCCTCCACTGATTTGAATTCCTTTAGACATTCAGAACAGATAAAAGACACTTTCAGCCGGATGTTTTGTATCTAATGTTCTGTTATTTTTTTAAACCATTATGAAGAATTGAAAGGTATTAAATTAGTTGACTACACCATTAATCTTCATTATTTAGAACAAATAATGTAGGTTTTCTACATAAGACACCATGTACAAGACTAAGAGTCGAGTTGTGCTTTGAGATCAAATGTCAGCAGTCTCACGAAGGCCTTAGTAAGATGAATATGTGTAACAGGTTTACCATGTTCTTCATCTTAGCATTAGCAAAAGTGCTAACTAGCATGTAGCACAACTTACACCTATTTTTGCAGGTACAGTATTAAGTCATAAAGAAAAGTAAACATTTGACCTGCTAAAGATGAAATGCAAAATATCACCAAATTAGTACATTAAATACAACTTTCATATTATAATTGATCTTGAGAGGGGCATGAACGCTGTACATTCATGATCTTTTAGCAATGAATCGAAGAGTTTTACCCTCTGGGAACATTAAACGTCTGTACATAAGTTAAATAAATCCAGTTAATAGTTTATATTATATCTCAGTGTAAAACAAAGTGTCGGGCCGAGCAACATTGCCATTCCTAGTGTCATAACACCATCATGATATTATCAAGAGATTTTATCAATTCAAATTGTATTCAAATCTTCATCAGCAAAACAACAACAGGGCTACAGCCCATTTGAAATATTTACATTCCTTAAAAACAATATCTTTTGGTATTCTGTATTCTCATATTTACACTGCAAGGTCCTGCAAAAATACTGATGAACGTGTAGAGAAAGTTGCACTGACGCTAAGATCAGTGTCAGGAGCGCTTAGATTCAACACTTTTAGGCCAAAACTGGAAACAAAACATCCGAACAGCATCTGTAGACACAAAGTATAATCTACTGCAAGAGATGGAATTCTTATCAGCAGCAGCAGCTTTTAGAGAGTTATTTTCTGCGACGGGTAATCATTTATCAAAAGACTCCGAAATAGAGTGCGACTGATTTCACACTTAGAGAGATTTCAGTCTCTGAATAAAACACACTTTCTCCTCAGCAGCTCCGCACAGGCATGAAAAGGAGTGGCCCTCTGTCATGCATGCCTGCGTCCCTCAACAGGATATTTCCCAGTTAAAACCTGCAGCTGGAGGGACCGGCAGTGAACACAACAGAGAGGCGTTCAGGGGCAGTGAAACACAACAGAGAGGCGTTCAGGGGCCGACAGCAGTCATATCTGTGAGGAGTTAACAAGATGACAGCTATACTCTTTTAAAAGTATGAATACAGAAAAAAGAATAGTTGGTAGCTACACCGTGTTCTTTAAACTCGGTCTGATTCATCGAGGCAGAAAATACTCTGCATTATTATGGATTATTACAGATTACTACTTGACAGTTTCTAAATCAATCATATCACCTACACATCCTCCATCACAGACCGAAAACTCATCTGTTGGAACTGCACCTGGGCATGATATTAAAAAATAAAAATAAAACTTTCTCATCACTTATAGTCTCTAAATGTGGCACCTTAAGTATATCAGCATGGTGATGATAATGTAATAGCTTGATTCTTGCAATATTTTGGCTTTACTCACATTGAATGCACTTATTAGAACTTGCCAGGGATAACATTGTCAGCTAAATAAAAGTATTGCAATGCATGACATAAACCACACATTAAAAAGACACAACACTGATCCGACAGTCACTATTTAAGCAGATTTAAGTCCATATGTTGTCCACTGTATTAAGAACAAGTTCTTCTTGTTGATTGTTTTACTGTAGCAATGAAAGTGTCCTTGAAGTGTTGTGATGTATTTTCCTGGCAGTCAAATGAGTCCCCGTGGTCACAGATGCTGCCGGATGATTGGAGGACGGTCAGATCGTCCACGTCGGCATCGCTGCATTGTTCACCGTGTGTCCTTTGTTAACCTGCAGAAAATAAATCATGTGAGCGATCTGTATCTCTGAACTCTTGTGACAAAAGCATTGTGTGACAGTTTTGCTTAACTGATTTAGTACATTTTCCGTAATTAGGTTTGAACAAAGTTTTCAGGCGGTGGATAATAGTACTTTATATTAACTCAGTTGTATGTTCTTCAGTATTTTTGTTGTTTTGCAGAAAATGTTTTACTGAAGTACATTTGAAATAAAAACATATGGGACTTACACATTACTATTTAGTACTAATTGCTATACCTTCTCCTACTTTGATATGAGGCAACACACTTCTAGCCATTTGCTTCCAATATATTTACCTCTAGATATTTCTCAGCACTACCTCAATGACAGCCAGAGTACATGCAGCAAACACACACTGCAGACTTCATTCAAGGCTCTCTGTGAGGATTCATGATGTTTTTCCTCTTTTTTTAATTAAGAAATTAAACCCTTTTGACGTTTGTCTGATGCTGCTGGTGAGACACTTTTTCTCTGCATGTTTGTTAGTACTTGCTGATAAAACTGTATGCATGTAATCCATGGATGGAATATAATGCCTCTAATGAAATCACTCAGTACTGGAGTAGTTTTTTTTACGACATCGTTTTTTAAACTTTGACTCAAGTAGCTATTTTATAGTACTTCTCCTACAGTGTTTCTCTACCCACCCTTGAATTTTTCGACTTTCACTAAACCATGTTTCTCACGGGAGTAGATCCACTATGGCTCAACTTGTTCCAGTGCAGTGTAATTGGCAGGTTTCAAAACCTGCTTTTTTAAGCAGTTTCAACACCATTTTATAAGCTTTCTTTAATTTGCTCAAGTTACAGTGACATTTCACGGCTCTGACAAACAGTGCAGAGCGGCTGCAACACGCCACCGCAGCAGCAGTAACATTAACTTTTGTTTTGAGATCTCTTGTGTAACCCAGTGTGTGCAGAGGGCCTCCACAGTGAATGAAAGTAACCTCTAACCCTTACTCAGTGTTAGCGATAAAATCCTGGGAAAAAGCCATGTGTAAAGGATGTTGGTCAACAGTAAGTGAAGTGGACCATGACCTCCCTCCAGACCTCCAGAAACAGAGACTATCCCGGGGTTAGGTTGCACCACACTCCCATGCATGCCTGCTGTAATCACTAGCAGGTGTTAGGAGTGTTTGGGCTCTCAATAAGTACCATGTGAAATGAGGAGAGGGTCACAGTTCATCAGCCATACTGAAACCAGCTGGTGCATCACAACAAACACGGGCTGGCAGGAAACGCAAACTGTTTGGAAAGAGCCAAAGTCCACTGTTGATCTGTTTGTGTTCGCATTATTGTGTAAGGTAGATGTTTATGTTGATGATGTGGGCGTATTTATAGTGAGATAATTCAATAGACGCTGCTATGGACAATCTGCAATAAATGCACATTCTATGGACAATATTGCACCAAAGATATTGATATTGAAGTGAGAGTATTTTGTATTGATTGTTGTGTATCTTAATGTGTGTTATACATATTTTTATATATATCTGTATATTGTATCATTTTATATTCGGGATTGTTGGAAACGTCTCTGTCTGTAAACACAAACTGAGTAAGATTGACATTAAAGTTGACTTTGACTTGACTTTGACTTTTGTAATTTTCAGGGGAAAATGTTCCTGTTACAAATTCTACTTAAAGCAGCAAATGAAGAAATTACAATGAGATGTTTTTAAAAAGGATCCCACTGCATGCTGGATGACAAGATGAACTTCAGAGAAAACATACATAATAAGAGATTAGAACAGCGAACTTTTAATGGATTGATAAAAAGAAAAACATTAAAGAGGGCCATTAACATTAACAATTGAAGGATTTAATACTTATTGGTTATTGTTTGTGTTGTTTTTATTATGATTTGAGTCTGATTGGATTTATTATTAAACATACTCAGTGATGATTTGTTTATATAAATCCTTATCAATACTGTTGATGTAAAAGGGGATGTGAGAAAAAGCTAATAAAGTTAAAAACAGAAGTGGGTTGAAGGAACACCTGCAGGAAGTTTGCCTGAAGCACAATTACTCTTGCTGTGACACAGACTTATGATTTAGCAACTTTGCCACAGAAGAGCAGGAGTGAAAATAAAATTATTCATACATATGATACAGTTAATACATACAAATATACTTTATTGTATGCATTAAGATTTGTTTGAATATCTGAAAACAACATTTTAAAGTAAAATACATCAAAAAGTTGATTTCATATTAATATTAATAGTGAATTTTATAAGTTATGAGACTATCTCTCTGGTCTTGACGGATAAATGACAAGAAACTGACTAACATCTGCATGTGTTTATAAACTGGACATACGTGTAAGTGTAAATCATGCTCACCATAAGTAGATTCATAAATGTTTAGAGTCTTCTGCAGGATTATCTGAAAAACAAACCACATGAGATGACTTTCCCCGACTCAGACTGCAAGGAATCTGGGTGTGACCCTAGATAACAACCTGTCCTTCACTGCAAACATCGCTGCTACAACCCGTTGCTGCAGATACACGCTTTACAACATCAGGAAGATACGTCCCCAGCTGACACAGAAAGCGACTCAGGTTCTGGTCCAGGCTCTCGTCATCTCACGCCTAGACTACTGCAACTCCCTCCTGGCTGGTCTACCTGCATGTGCCATCCGACCTCTGCAGCTCATCCAGAATGCAGCGGCTCGTCTGGTCTTCAACCTTCCTAAATTCTCCCACACCACTCCGCTCCTCCGCTCCCTTCACTGGCTTCCGGTAACTGCTAGAATCCACTTCAAGACACTGGTACTTGCTTACCATGCTGCGAATGGATCTGGCCCTTCGTACATCCAGGACATGGTTAAACCGTACACCCCAGCGCGTGCACTACGCTCTGCATCAGCCAAACGACTCGCTGCGCCCTCGCTGCGAGGGGGACCCAAGTTCCCAACGGCGAAAACACGTGGGTTTGCTGTCCTGGCTCCAGGATGATGGAATGAGCTCCCCATTGACATCAGGACGGCAGATAGCTTACACATCTTCCGGCACAAACTGAAAACTCATCTCTTTCGACTCCACTTCGAGCGATAGAACTATTAACGAAGCACTTTTATACTAATAAAGGACTGGCTTTTCTAAAGCCAGTTGAGTAGCACTTGAAATGTTTGGCTCTATGAAACCTGATGTACTTATATGATTCTGTTTTCTTCAAGGTGTATTTTGTTGGACGAACGCACTTATTGTAAGTCGCTTTGGATAAAAGCGTCAGCTAAATGCAATGTAATGTAATGTAATGTAATGACTAATATATTCACTTAACCCTCACACTAAGAAATATACAGTGTGTAAAACCACTGACTCACACCAGACAAGTCTGAACAATAAGAGCTACAGCGACCTCTGCTGGGTAAACTCCAAAAACGAATCTGGCTCTTGCTAAAAAAGTGGTTTCCATTTTTGAAGTTTTATTTCTGGAACCACAGGGAACATCTTGAAAGAGGTTACCAAAAAAAGGAGCTATTCATGACACAGAAAAGACCGCTTCAGAACAATGGATATAATAATATGGTAAAATCACAATTATTGATGTGTCAATTTAATCCGGCAACAAATCTGAATTTATTTCATGAATATATTTTATATTATTAATTATGCTCTGCGAAATAACTGAAGTTTTAGGAAATAAAGCACATACGTGTCTATACGTATATACAGAGATGCAAAAGAACGCACATCCTTTACTCAAGTAGAAGTACAGATACTCGTGTTTAAAAATACTCTGGTAAAAGTAGAAGTACTGACTAAACTTCTTTACTCAAGTAAAAGTAAAGAAGTATGGGCTTCGAAATGTACTTAAATAAAAAGTACCCATAACTAGCAGCTGTTTTAAAGAGTACCTGACCTCCCTTTATATTAATAGAACAATAATGTCATTGTTAGCTAATGAATGTTTCCATGCTGAACAACGGCAACATGACAACGTTTCCATTGGTCCCTCTTCTTTAGAGAAGACCAGGAAATGATGGATACACGGATCGTGTTCAAATCAACAGGCTAAATAATAATGATCACGCCACCAAACACAGATTAAAGTAGTGGAGTAAAGTACTGATACCAGAAAAATGTACTTAAGTACAGTAACGAAGTATTTGTACTCCACTACTTCCCACCTCACATACATATGTATATGCTACAGCTCTATGTTAGAAAGATACTCACCATCCTTTCTCATCCAATTGTCTAACTCTTCCATTTCTAGCTCGAGCACAGAGGGCACGTCTTCCTCAAACATGGGCCTGGAAGGTACAAAGTTTCAACACGATCAAATAATCCACACAAAAAACCAAGGTGAGCAAATTAACTTCAATGTTTCTGACACCAGCTGTCGGTATCTGTAGTCGGCTTGTGTTTATAATAACTACAAATTACTCACACTTGTATGCATATTGAAAACCTAACATCTTGTTAACATGGTTGTAAACATAATAAATAAACCTTGAAGAGTTTAATAAGAGTTCTTCAAATGATTAGAGAAGAAGTAAAAGTATCCATACTTACATAGGAACCTTCTCTGTACTGGACCCGTCCAAATATGGATCCTCTTTCCTCAGCTCTATGAGAATAAAAACATGGCTCTTTATCAGAATCAGAAACAGGTTTATTGCCAAACAGGTTTATATATACGAGGAACTTGCCTTGGTGTATTTGGTGCGTACATAAACACAGTTAATGAAGATCAATTGTAATAAAAAGACCATAAAATAAAACAAGGATAACATATTGGGCCACCGAGGCATTACAGTATTCAAACACATCTTTAACTTAAAAGATCCAAGGCTTAAAAAGTTGAGTCATTTAGTAGTTATATATATATATACACTGAACAAAAATATAAATGCAACACTTTTGTTTTTGCTCCCATTTTTCATGAGATGAACTCAAAGATCTAAAACATTTTCTATATACACAAAATAACCATTTCTCTCAAATATTGTTCACAAATCTGAAAAAATCTGTGATAGTGAGCACTTCTCCTTTGCCAAGATAATCCATCCCACCTCACAGGTGTGGCATATCAAGATGCTGATTAGACAGCATGATTATTGCACAGGTGTGCCTTAGGCTGGCCACAATAAAAGGCCACTCTTCAGTTTTATCACACAGCATAATGCCACAGATGTCGCAAGTTTTGAGGGAGCGTGCAATTGGCATGCTGACAGCAGGAATGTCCACCAGAGCTGTTGCCCGTGAATTGAATGTTCATTTCTCTACCATAAGCCGTCTCCAAAGGCGTTTCAGAGAATTTGGCAGTACATCCAACCGGCCTCAGAACCGCAGACCACGTGTAACCACACCAGCCCAGGACCTCCACATCCAGCATGTTCACCTCCAAGATCGTCTGAGACCAGCCACTCGGACAGCTGCTGCAACAATCGGTTTGCATAACCAAAGAATTTCTGCACAAACTGTCAGAAACCGTCTCAGGGAAGCTCATCTGCATGCTCGTCGTCCTCATCGGGGTCTCGACCTGACTCCGGTTCGTCGTCGTAACCGACTTGAGTGGGCAAATGCTCACATTCGATGGCGTCTGGCACGTTGGAGAGGTGTTCTCTTCACGGATGAATCCCGGTTTTCACTGTTCAGGGCAGATGGCAGACAGCGTGTGTGACGTTGTGTGGGTGAGCGGTTTTCTGATGTCAATGTTGTGAATCGAGTGGCCCATGGTGGTGGTGGGGTTATGGTATGGGCAGGCGTATGTTATGGACGACGAACACAGGTGCATTTTATTGATGGCATTGTGAATGCACAGAGATACCGTGACGAGATCCTGAGGCCCATTGTTGTGCCATTCATCTACGACCATCACCTCATGTTGCAGCATGATAATGCACGGCCCCATGTTGCAAGGATCTGTACACAATTCCTGGAGGCTGAAAACATCCCAGTTCTTGCATGGCCAGCATACTCACCGGACATGTCACCATTGAGCATGTTTGGGATGCTCTGGATCGGCGTATACGACAGCGTGTTCCAGTTCCTGCCAATATCCAGCAACTTGGCACAGCCATAGAAGAGGAGTGGACCAACATTCCACAGGCCACAATCAACAACCTGATCAACTCTATGCGAAGGAGATGTGTTGCACTGCGTGAGGCAAATGGTGGTCACACCAGATACTGACTGGTTTTCGGACCCCCCCCAGACCCCCCAATAAAGCAAAACTGCGCGTTTCAGAGTGGCCTTTTATTGTGGCCAGCCTAAGGCACACCTGTGCAATAATCATGCTGTCTAATCAGCATCTTGATATGCCACACCTGTGAGGTGGGATGGATTATCTCGGCAAAGGAGAAGTGCTCACTATCACAGATTTTTTCAGATTTGTGAACAATATTTGAGAGAAATGGTTATTTTGTGTATATAGAAAATGTTTTAAATCTTTGAGTTCATCTCATGAAAAATGGGAGCAAAAACAAAAGTGTTGCATTTATATTTTTGTTCAGTGTATAATAACAAGTGTTGATAAGTTGCAGAGTTGTTTTTAGCACGAATAAGGTCAGTTCCTCAATATTATAGGAAATATACTTTCCTATGTAACGCTCAAATTATCCAGAAACATATATATGTGTATACGTTTTAAGACTGAAACACTTTAATTAAAAAAGTTTCATGACAGTAGAGGAACATTTGACATTATGGTACACATATTCACTGTGGACAGATGCCACTATTATTTTATAGAAAATTGTTTAAACTTCTGAACAGAAATAAATACATTGATCCTATTAGAAATGTCTGCAAATAAAAGCAAAATAACCCTAATTGTCCATTGGTAAGATAAGATAAGACTTTATTCATCCCGAAGGAAATTGTTGTGCCAGAGTTACAAAAATACAATAAACACAGCAGCACAATAATAATAAAATGGTACACTAACAGTGCAGTAAAAAGAGCAATTCAATAACTACAGGAAACATAGACAGTCACATAATTAATGTTAACATTATTTAGTAGTGCAAAAACCGTAGTGGTAGTTAAGTAATTGCACGTTATTTATCGAACATTATTAATAATAATAATATCGCACATGTTATATAGTACGTGTTCCCTCTCGTGATAGACATACCTTGATTGATCTGATTTTGTTTCCACCTGCGGTTGATGAAGATGCAGAAAACGATGAAGGCGATGATGAGGACCACCAGCACCACAGGGATCAGGATGATGAGCAGACCCAGACCCTCATCCGGCTCTAGGTCGGTCGAATCCGTAGTGTTGAAGTCCTCTGTTGAAAAGTATAAACAGTCATCCATCTTTTCCTTACCTTTTCCAACTTGCACTTTTTTAGTTTTAGTTGATTGCAGTCCTTTGTATAACCTTGACCAGGGATCAAAGATTTAAATAGCTTTATTTGGGCATTTCTATACGATGCGTAATCTTTAATAAATGTGTTCTGCTGCAATTTTCTGTCATTAAAGGATTAATACAAGGAGTAAATGATCGTTACATTTACAGTAGGTCTGTAAATGTGCAGGTATGTGAGGCCATGGTTGGTCTGACATACCATTATAGAGCCTGGAGCCATCCTGCTCTTCTCCAATGGTAGTTTCAACTGGAAACAACAGCAGAGGAAAGTTGGATGATTTTTCTGAAACTTCATGCGAGTACTAACTCATGTTTTACTTCTCTCTACTACTATGTCCCACAATGTGACATAGAAGTGCATTAATTCAAGGAATGCTGCTTTTCATGGTTTTTTGTGTTACTTTGTGTTTCTTTTAATTCGTGTTTACTATAAAACATTAATTTAATAAAAAATCCATTATCATATATTCTCCCCAAAAAAAAGATCAAATAAATTTAATGGCAAACAAAATAATCAAGTAAAGCATGAGCATTGTAGGACGTGGTGCTCTCAGTATGTTCAAAACCTTTCCTGAGGGTAGGTTAAGATGTTGGGCTTTTCCTCAGAAACAGCACCATTCAGAATAAAAGCTGACTTACCATCTAAATATGTTGTGGTGAGGTCCGGAGGTAGAGTGGATTCAGAAACATCTACAGACAGAGAGAGAGAGGCACTTCATCATCAGGACATTCGTAGAGTAACACTTCTTATTTACATGTGTGTTTTAAAGGTCCCCTATCATACTCTTTTTCAACAATATATTATAGGTCTCAGATATATACAAAACATGTCTCTGCCTCTGAGAGATGTTTGGTTTTTAAAAAACACAATGGTGCTCTAGGGGGAGATTCAGGTGATAAGGTGGGGGTTACCTTGGTTACACAACCCAAAAAACATTGTGAAATCACAAAGTGGACAAAAAGAGAGAGAATCTTTTGTCCTGAAACTTTCTGAATCTTTTACACAGAGGGGACACATTGATGTATAAAAAGACATGAAAAAGTGGGTTTTGCATAATATGTGACCTTTAACACCTCAATTCAGCAGACATACGTTTTATTGTTGACAGTGGCCATTAACAAAGGGGACAGCTGTATTCATTTCCGGTTATTATAGCCACAGGGTTCATCGCCGTTTAAAGACGTCAGAGCCTTTACACTATGTCTGATTTGAAAACCACAGCCATTACAGTAAGCTGCTGGAACAGCTCCCTGCTCAAAAAAGGGTTTCAACACGTTGTGACTTGTAGGAAGCCTTTCCTTTCATTTTGTGCAGGCAAGACCAGGTTCAAATATACGAAAGAAGGCGAACCTCGACAGCATGTTTGACCAAAATGAAAAGCCGATAGTGTCGTCCAGAGAAACAGGAGAACAAAAGTCAACCGAAACACAAAACTACCATCTGTGTCTTTACTTCTATTTATGTCACAGATGTATGTATTCCTATATTCGGCCATTCCTATATATCTGATTAAAAGCGGCAACTCTATTGACAAAGACTGTGAATGCAGTGAGAGGACCAGATAGAAATAAGGTCAGCCTGAAACATTTCTGCAAATACTTTGAGCATAAAACGTTTTTCATATCTATCCAGACCATATAATCTGTGCACATCCTAATAATGTTTTTTTATTCGTCAACACTCCTACAAGTAACCAATGAGCACTCAGCCTATTGACTATGACCCCTCACAGGTCTTCCACTCGACCTGTGACACCCATAAAGCCTGAAAGAGAGTTAATAGTTTATAAACAATCACAATTTCCATCTCACAAAAGAACATCAGTGACAAAAAGCTCCTTTTATCAAATAAATGACAATCTAACTTAGAAAAAACGTTCTTGATCTCTAAACATCCTCTTGGCCCAGGAGTTCAAAACTTTTAATCCCAATCTGATCAAATCAGATTTGGATTTTGGGGAGTTCAAAACCAAAAAACAGGATTAGGATCACTTTGATATCCGATCAGGAAATCCAATCCAAGCTTTAATCTGGATCAAATCTTCAAAACGGGTAGTTCAAACCGACAACACAGGATTGGGATCAGTTTGATCCCAAAAAACTGGATTATCCTGATCCCACCAGAGGGGTGGATTTCCAGTGGATTACCAGAGCAAAATGTACTGTACAATTGATTTAAAAATATGTTTCAATATAAATAAGATGGCAAAGTTTGTTAACTGAAATAATACACCATTTTTAGCCTTCATGGCAAATCAATTTTATTTTTCATTTTTTGCTCACGTTTGTGGTGGCCTATTTTGTTTTCAACCAAATGTTAACATAAATGTTTATGCTCATGAAAGTATCACAACAAAGATTGTCAATCACAAATGTAATTTAGATTAAAGAAAAAATATCTTCAACAAAAAAAAAGTCCATCATCTGTCATCACCTTTCAAAAGTAATTGCGGACAATAGATGTCTCTGCAATGTGGTCTCTTGTCTTCCTTGTATTATTTTTCATGTCCACTAGATGGAGCTCAGTAGGATTAAAGCGCTGATATTCAGGATCTAGTCATCTTGAAAAATCGTAATCTGGATCAGGGTGATCCTATCCTGAATTGCTTTGAACTCCAGGGACAAAATCTGGCCGACTTGTCTGATCCTGGATCACAAAAAATGGGATTTCAAAATCTGATCGGATCTGATTGAGATTAAAAGCTTTGAACTCTTGGGCCCTGAAGACTGAGGATTAAGTCATCAAAACCTAGAAAATCAAACAGTACAGTTTGCTGCTCTTTCTGTAAAGTCTCTCATCGTGGACCTGGCTTTTTCCAGATCGTATAGCACTATGTTGAAACAGGAAATCACGAAGTCATTAGCACACTGATGTTTAAGATATCCCTGTGTGCTCGCACCCTCATTTCCTGTGGAATCCAAACTGAATAGTGTTCTCATAATGGGTCACTTGCACTTTATAACAAAATTGTATTTTCTTAATCAAGATTGTTGTATTTTCTTTATGTAATATTGGTTTAATGTTTTTTGCTTTAAAATGTTTTTTGTCATGAGAAACAATTAGTTGTAGTTGTAGCTGTTAAAATGTGCAGCTGCTTTTTCCTAGAACAAAGTGCAAAAGTACCTAAATGTTCAGTGATGTGCTTCCTGTTTGCTTTATGGATAAAAGGTAAAAACCCCAGATTGATTCCAGGTTGAGGTCTTTGTTGCATTAGCACCCCTCTTTCCACCATGTCTGCGTTCTATTTCTACGCCTAACAAAGAAATGCACAAAGATCTTTTAAAAGAAAAAACCTCAAAACTAATAACAATTGAGTACTTTCAAGACATCTGGACAAAAGCAGTCATGGTTAAAGTGTTTGCTTCTAAATGAATTCTTGTTTGATATTGATTTTGTGTTTGCATCATAACTGGATATCGTTTGGCTTGTTTTTCCCATCGTATTTATTCTTAAAACAATGTTTAAGGTGCTCTGTTCAGGTGTTTGAACCTGTGACCCCCTGACCCCAACACCAAGGCTCTATCCACTGCGCCACACTGCCTTATTTATTCGTTTTGTTATTATTATTATTGTATGTTTTTTTATCACAATGTTTCATTCATCACCACTGTTTATGCGACCATGTCACTGAAAATATCAAACTATATAATACCATTTGTGAGAAGAAAAAAAAAGAATAATAACAAAATGAAAATAAATGTTAGAATCTCAATTATTTTGTCTGCACACCCGAAAATAAGAAGGAAAATAAAATAAAAGAATAGACCTCAAAGCGTGTACTTTTGGGCACATCATGTATTATTATTTTCAAATGTATTATATTATTCATGTCTCACCTGGGACCTCTGGTTCACCATCAGCCCCTGGCGCTGCTTCTCCGGGCTCCTCCCCATACTCTATGTCTGTGTCTGCTTCTTCTTCTACGTTTTCATCATCCTCTTCTTGGCAAAACACTGAAATTCAACACATCCCATCACTTTATATTATGCCGCTGCCTTGTCACTGAAAAGGTAGTTAAACATGTGCAACATTTATTTCAGTGAAGTGAAAAGCGCATGTGAATGAAGACAGTTATTCCTGCAGGGATTTCACCAGTTTACTTGCTAACACAACATCTGAATAAGTGTCACATCACACAGGAACTCAAGACTTCTGCCTGTATGATTCCAAAAGGTTGCTACACAAATCTAAACTGTTGCAAAGCAGCTATTGAACAGCAAGGAGTAGGAGGAGATATTCAACAAGTTGAGCAATTTGTTGCTGACATAGCTTCGTTACGCAGTCGAAGAGTTCACTTTGTGAGAAAAAGTTCCTTTTGTTCAAGAAAATGTACTCGATTTGACACAAAAGAGGAATCCAATTACCGTTTCTTAAAGACTAAGGTGTATATGTACAGATTAAAAAAGGTTTCCTGGCTGACCTTAGCTTTATCAAACTTTGAGAAGAGATTCATTTGAAATAGAGTAAGGATTGAGTTTCTACAAACGGCAAAGCTATGACAAAAAGTGGATTGAAGTGACATAGGGCCAACTTTCACTTTTAGTTCTTCGAATGTATCAAATCTTTTGAATTCATTATCAAAACTTTTCACACTCCTTCCAGTCCAGAAGTTCCACTCAGTCACAAAGCGAGGAAAGTAGAGTAAAGCCCAAAGGGGAGAGCAGGGGGGAGACAGGAGAGTAAAGATCCTGGTGTCATACCTGTGCCCAGCAGCAGCAGCAGCAGCAGCAGCAGAGGGGTCTTCAGCCCCGGCCCTCTCATGCTTCCAGTCCCAGAAGCAAACATGGTGCCATTGTGAGCCTGCTTCCTCCTCTACTGTCACAGCATCACACTTCCTGATCTGACTAAACATGTTCACTGGAAGGGAAAAAAAAGACTTTCTAACACACCCTCAGACTCACTCAGATAACTCTCTCGGATGTGATGCAATCGGCTGTGTGTGCCTGTTGCCACAAGTCGGACGGCTCCTCGGCTACAGCACAATCACATTCTTGTCGGGGAGGTATGCCGCAGAGGGGGAAGCTGAGCAAACTTTAAAAGAAGGAACAAACTATTTTCTGTGAGGGCCAGCTGGTCGGGTATCTCTTGTCAAACTGCTGCTGCCTAAATAAACTCTGAGGCTACATTTGCATATTTGTTCTTTGATCTGTGTCTTAATACAACTCAGGATTACAAGTCAGGCTTTGTGGTGAGGAAGCTTGAATTTGAGGGGCAAGCTGTAATGGGTACCTGTGGATAAAAGCTGCTGGTCTACTTTAAAAGTCTCTACAGTGTTTTCTTCACTTCACAGCAGAAACAGGTGGTAACAGGTTTCAACACGATGGCAGGGGTTTGAGTTTCCAATCAACTGTGACAATGATCATCTGAAATGGCATTAAAAACCATGTTTGACACTTCCTCTGAGTGCTGGTTGACAGTTCTCATAAACAAAAAGACAGTTATGCAAAATGTTGTGATCTTACAAAGGGAATATCAGGCTGTGCTGCTGACTAATAACACACATTTCTCAAGAAGAACACAGGTCACTTCCCATTAAATGAAATGGAACTACATATCAGAGACCATCATTCAATGGGATCACAGAAACAGCCAGGGGCTTGGAAGCCACCCATCATCAAACTCAGCCACCATTTTAAAATCTAAATACTGACTGTATCTTGTACAAATATACGTTTAAACACCTGGCAAATGACAGTATTTAGAGCCTCCTCGTTGGTAATTCCGTCTGCTTTCGTAGGGTATCTCCAGGAGCCCATTTGGCAACCATGACTCAAACTGAGCCAGGAGGTGAAACCAGTCACACAGTTCACACGCCTCACACACGACTGAAAAAAAGACAGAACAAGTTCAGACGGTGAACACAACAGAAAGACAAAAACTATTCAAATGTAACAATTAGAATTTTAGAGACCAACTATTATGTGAGGAAATATTATAATATGTTTTGTAAGGCAAGGCATATATATATAGCACTTTTCAACACAAGGCAATTCAAAGTGCTTTACAAAAAATGAAAGACATTAAGAAAATGGCATTTAAAATCAGTCATTTAAAAGAAAAGATAATAAAATAAACATTAAAAGAAAAAATACATGGATAAAAGTTACAGTGCAGTTTAAGATATGAATAGTTCAATTAAAAGCAGCGACAAAAAGAAAAGTCTTCAGCCTGGATTTAAAAGTAGTCAGAGTTGTAGCGGACCTGCAGGTTTCTGGGAGTTTGTTCCAGATATTTGGAGCATAATAACTGAACGCTGCTTTACCATGTTTAGTTCTGACTCTGGGGACAGAAAGCTGACCAGTCCCTGAAGACCTGAGAGATCTGGATGGTTCATAATTTAGCAGGAGATCGGAAATGTATTTTGGGCCTAAACCATTCAGTGCTTTATAAACCAGCAGCAGTATTTTGAAATCTATTCTTTGACACACAGGAAGCCAGTGTAAAGACTTCAGAACTGGAGTGATGTGATCCACTTTCTTAGTGTTAGTGAGGACTCGAGCAGCAGCGTTCTGAATCAGCTGCAGCTTCCTAATAGATTTGTTAGTGAGACCTGTAAAGACACCATTACAGTAGTCGAGTCTACTGAAGATAAAAGCATGGACAAGTTTTTCCAAATCCTGCTGTGACATTAGTCTTTTAATCCTAGATATATTCTTTAGGTGATAGTAGGCTGATTTAGTAACAGTTTTAATGTGACTGTTGAAACTCAGGTCAGAGTCCATGACTACACCTAGATTTCTGGCTTTATCTGTTGTTTTGAACATTGCAGACTGAAGCTCAGCGCTAACTTTTAAACGTTCTGCCTTGGCTCCAAAAACCATTACCTCAGTTTTATCTTTGTTTAATTGGAGAAAGTTCTGACACATCCAGTCATTGATTTGTTCAATGCACTTACTCAGTGTTTGAATTGGAGCATAGTCTCCTGGTGAAATTGTTACGTACATTTGTGTGTCATCTGCATAGCTATGGTAACTTATTTTGTTGTTCTTCATTATCTGAGCCAGTGGTAGCATGTAGATGTTAAAGAGAAGAGGCCCCAAGATGTAAACATCATAACATTGTAATATGGAAATAAAAACTATATTTTTCAAAATAACACATTTGAATCTAATTTTATATATCAAATGTAATTAAAACAACTCAATAAACAAATTTAAAAAATGTGTATAATATCTATAGATTTAAAAAAAAAATTAAACACAAAGTACAGCTGAGATGTAAATGTCATTACTTTTGTAGGTATTTTGACATAAACAAAAATATTGGCCGAGTATAAAATGTGATTTAATGTTGGTGCTATATGACATGTGACAAATGCTTCTGATAAATGTGTGTACCAAATGTCATGGTGATCAGATGCTGTAATAGAGATAAGGTTGTAGTAGTGTGTCCATATTATATATAGTATTTTAGTACAAGTTTTGGGTACTTCTTTCATATTAAGACAAAAAACCTAAAAAACTGAGAGGGTTACATTTTGTTTGATACCACGGAAAATATCAGGTACTGCTTATAGGGTTCCTTCTTCTTGTTTTGTTATAGTTGAGCTCATCACAGATGCTCATGAAACATCCTGTTGCACCAAAGGAAGGTGTGGACACCTGTTATTGCCAAAAGTACATTGACATCTGGACAAACATCTGCAGGGATTTTTCTTCCTTTCAGAGCATTTAGACCATCAAGAGCATGAGGGAGCTCGGGCCCTGATGTTACGCAAAAATAATTTAATTGATCCTGTCTGATCAAGTGTGACGGTCTGGGCTCTTAGCAGGGCAGTCAAGTTCTTCCAAACCAAAATGAGAATGTTCTTTGCTTTGAGTTTTTAGCATATTATGAAACAACTAGTTGATAACAAGTTGAAATGCACATCATGATGCATCCTCAAATAATAATTTCAGAAAGAGTTATACACAAATACTATCAACAGAATCTTTAAAGTGACAAGTTGTTCTTGATTTTAAGAAGATAACGTTAAAGCACACCAGGGCTTGTTCCTCTCCTCGTATCTCATCTCACTAACAACCGCACAGAGCCTGAAGCCTGACTGGTCTCAACTGGTCTCTCTGAGCAGCTTGAACTGGACTGATCAGTAACACCGTCTCCGTACATGTAGAGATGATAATCTTTTCATTACTTGTGTTGTGTTTTCTTGGTCTGTTTGATTTTCATTTGTCTCATATCTAGTTTGTTAAACACTTTTTAATGAAGAGATGCTTTAATAAAATGTATGTATGTCGATAATTACGTTAATTTGCGGCGTTGTTTTATGGTAGAAATGGTAGGGCAACAACTATTTTACGGATGCAAAACCAGAAACTGAACTCACATTTGACATAACACCTACTGAGCACATACCTGTTCTTGCTTTTCTCAGGTTTGGTAATCTTCTCAAAGGTATGCTTGAGATCTTGAGGGCCTGTTGTTCACCAGGTAGGCTACCGTTCTCTACGAGTAACACACATGGGATGCAAACATGATTTTTCTCTGACATACAAACAGGTAAACCCATTTCAACACACATAATATGGAAAAGCATACTTTTAAAAGTCCCTGGTGTCTAAAAATCCAACTTATATTATCGACAAACATAGAAATGAATTAACAAAATTACTCTGCAAAAAAAAAATGTTTTAATTTAAATGTAGCACACAGTTACTCTCGTCTTGGTGTAACACTGCTATGTTCTTAGTGTAATTTCAAATTCATACGTTTTATCAATGGCATAGCAACATCACATTGTGTTTGGCATATCCTTGCCCTCATATTGACGATAAACTGAATTAATAATTCAGGAAAAAGCATCCTTGATCCACGTTACCTCCTTGTTAAACTCTTCGAAATCCGGAACCTTTTCTCACCGCAACACATCCGGAAGGAATTTGAAGACGGACCACTTCCGGTCCGACTGTCAACACAGGAGCATCTACACGTGTTTTCGAATAGATACAATGGTAAAACTGGTTTGTAATTGCTGTAATTGTAATATGAACTCTTGTAGCTATTTAAATCGGCAGCTAACAAGTTATTTATTGTTGTGTTTCAGCCGAAGCCTAATAAAGGAAATGGAAAGGCTCCGGAGAAGGTTTGTCACCCGTACAGCCGGAAAGCTGCTTACCTGGCCGGAGAAGAAATCAGACTGAGAAAGAAGAATAGGTGAGAGCATAACAATGACATCTTTACAGCTGCAGCTCATTAAACAGAGGTGGGAGACGTACTCAGATATTGTACTTGAGTAAAAGTAGAATAACCAGATAGTAGGAATACTCTGTTACAAGTAAAAGTCCTGCAATCAACATTTACGCAAAAATGTCCCAAATTCGGAGCAATAAAGTACCTCTTATGTTTCTCAAGTAAAAGTACAAAAGTATTAGCATCAAAATGTACTTAAAGTACCAAGAGTAAAAGCACTCATTATGCAGATTGGCCCATTTTTGAATAATATATATGTGTTTTGATTATAATGATCGATGCATTAATGTGTTCTCAAAGCTAGTAAAGGTGCAACTGATTGTATTTACTTTGTATACTGCAGTGAATTCACTACATGTGTAACTAAAGTGTTGATTATATTTCAAATCATTAATCCACATCTGTAAAGTAACTAAATATATAAAATAAATGTAGTGGAGTACAAGAGCACGATTTTCTACCTAGTAGTGTAGAAGTACAAAGAAGCACAACATTGAAATACTCGGGTAAAGTACCTCAAAATTGTTCTTAAGTACAGTACTTGAGTAAATGTAATTTACACCACTGTCATTAACTTATATTTGAACACTCATGACTTCTGGTGCTGTTTATACTACCTAAAGATTGCTGATATATGCCAATACAGTGTTTCCCACAGAATTTGATTATATTTGTGATATTGTGTATACCGCGGATTTGAATCACTGTTTATACTGTTGGTTGTTTGAACAATGAATCTCTACTGCATCAGTAATGAATCTCTACTGCATCAGTAATTCATCTCTACTGCATCAGTAATTCATCTCTACTGCATCAGTAATGAATCTCTACTGCATCAGTAATGAATCTCTACTGCAGGGCTGGCCAACCAGTCAGAGGTTAAGAGCCACATTTTTTCTATGTTTCTGCAAGGAGCCACATCAAACACACAGTCACTGATACCGCTTGTTTCAGTTTTTTGTTTTCTGGAGACAAGATTTCAACCACGTCACGTCATTTTTGTGGCATTGGGATATATATTTTTAAAATCCTCTGGAGCAGAGAGAGGAGCTGTGGATTATTGTTATTGATTAATGCATCAGTGTTTCTTAGGGTCAAAAACACTAAACTCACAACTTAAAATGAAAGCATTTAGTTTATTTAATAAAAGAGCACATGTTCAATGTGAAAAGTGACAGTAGTTATAGATTATTTGCAATTTGGTGCTATATATATATTTAAAAAAAAAAAATTATATATATTTTTTAAACACCTTGAATTTCAGGGGGGGGCGCGGGGCACCGTTGGCGGGGCGCAGCGCCCCTCCAAGACAATGGTAGGGGAAACACTGGATAGTGTTTAATCAACGATAGGTTCCCCCCCCCCTCAAATTGGTTCACTGCATCGCAGGTATTATTGTGATTGGCTCTTGGGCCACATCAAAATTAGACAGGCTGTCATCCTCTCATACTGACACCTGACACCACACATACACAAGTAGGGAGAGCCGGGACGAAAGTAACACGGGACGAAAGTAACGGAGCGATTTTATCCGAGCCCAAACAACTTTGACCGGCCAAATTACGTCAGAATTATCAGCATTCAATACTTAACAGACCTACTAAATATCAGGTTTAACTGTCAGGAGTAGCTAGTGTTGTCACGATACCAACATTTTGGTTTCGATACCAAGTCAAGAATTGCGATTCCGATTATTTTTCGATACTTTTCTTAAAAAAAGGGAAACAGTATTAAATGTAATTTATTGTGCTTTATTTCACACCAGAACCATAACACAAACTTTTAAACAATGAGAACAATAAATAAAATAAATGACAATAATTTGTATTAAATACAATTAATACATTTCTTACAGACAGGCCTCGTGGTGTCCGTAGGCTTGCCCTCACTGTCAGAGATATAGCTCAAATACTTCCAAATTTCGCTTCTGGCGTCTTTGTTGTCAACAAGCCGAGGCGCAGCGGCAGTTGCACTCCCACTTGCAGCCATGCTTCTCGTTTTCTCACATGCTCTGGCAGCTAGCGCGTGCACGAGAGAGGGGAGGCACTTAGAGCGTGCTTGAGAGGGGCGGGACTGCAGGCACGGCTGCAGTGCAGGGAATGGAAGCAGAGCGCTGAACGCACACGGCTCTTATTAAAACGGCGCTTTCTCACCGGATTACTTTCCCCCGTCATTCTTAAAGTACCGATACTAATGAAACGGAGGAATCGTAACGTTTTTAACGGCAGGGTATCGCGGTACCTTTCAAGTATCGGTACACCGTGCAACACTAGTCAGGAGTCAGTGTCTCTCCCCCAAACTCACACATAGGCTATACAATTCGATATGAACTGAAGAGCCGCATGAAACTAGGCAAAGAGCCGCATGCGGCTCGAGAGCCGCGGGTTGGCCACCCCTGCTCTACTGCATCAGTAATGAATCTCTACTGCATCAGTAATGAATCTCTACTGCAGGGGTGGCCAACCCGCGGCTCTCGAGCCGCATGCGGCTCTTTGCCTAGTTTCATGCGGCTCTTCAGTTCATATCGATTTTTATATGTGTGAATTTGGGGGAGAGACACTGACTCCTGACTAGTGTTGCACGGTGTACCGATACTTGAAAGGTACCGCGATACCCTGCCGTTAAAAACGTTACGATTCCTCCGTTTCATTAGTATCGGTACTTTAAGAATGACGGGCAAAAGTACTCCGGTGAGAAAGCGCCGTTTTAATAAGAGCCGTGTGTGTTCAACGCTCTGCTTCCACTCCCTGCACTGAAGCCGTGCCTGCAGTCCCGCCCCTCTCAAGCACGCTCTAAGTCCCTCCCCTCTCAAGCACGCTCTAAGTGCCTCCCCTCTCTCGTGCACGCGCTAGCTGCCAGAGCATGTGAGAAAACGAGAAGCATGGTTGCAAGTGGGAGTGCAACTGCCGCTGCGCCTCGGCTTGTTGACAAAAAAGACGCCAGAAGCGAAATGTGGAAGTATTTGAGCTATATCTCTGACAGTGAGGGCAAGCCTACGGACACCACGAGGCCTGTCTGTAAGACATTTATTAATTTTATTTAATACGAATTCTTGTCATTTATTTTATTTATTGTTCTCATTGTTTAAAAGTTTGTGTTATGGTTCTGTTGTGAAATAAAGCACAATAATTACATTTAAGACTGTTTCCCTTTTTTTAAGAAAAGTATCGAAAAAGAATCGGAATCGCAATTCTTGACTTGGTATCGAAACCAAAATGTTGGTATCGTGACAACACTAGCTACTCCTGACAGTTAAACCTGATATGTAGTAGGTCTGTTAAGTATTGAATGCTGATAATTCTGACGTAATTTGGCCGGTCAAAGTTGTTTAGGCTCGGATAAAATCGCTCCGTTACTTTCGTCCCGTGTTATGTATGTTGTGTATGTGTGGTGTCAGTATGAGAGGATGACAGCGCGTATAATTTTGATGTGGCCCAAGAGCCAATCACAATAATACCTGCGATGCAGTGAACCAATCACCTTTTAGGGGGGGGAAACCTATCGTTGATTAAACATTATCCAGTGTTTCCCCTACCATTGTCTTGGAGGGGCGCTGCGCCCCGCCAACGGAGCCCCGCCTACCCCCCTGATATTCAAGGTGTTTTAAAAAATATATATATATCATTTTATTTTTAAATATATATATAGCACCAAATTGCAAATAATCTATAACTACTGTCACTTTTCACATTGAACATGTGCTCTTTTATTAAATAAACTAAACGCTTTCATTTTAAGTTGTGAGTTTAGTGTTTTTGACCCTAAGAAACACTGATGCATTAATCAATAACAATAATCCACAGCTCCTCTCTCTGCTCCAGAGGATTTAAAAAATATATATCCCAATGCCACAAAAACGCATCAGTGACGTGGTTGAAATCTTGTCTCCAGAAAACAAAAAACGGAAACAAGCGGTATCAGTGACTGTGTGTTTGATGTGGCTCTTTGCAGTAACATAGAAAAAATGTGGCTCTTAACCTCTGACTGGTTGGCCACCCCTGCTCTACTGCATCAGTAATGAATCTCTACTGCATCAGTAATGAATCTCTACTGCGTCAGTAATGAATCTCTACTGCATCAGTAATGAATCTCTACTGCATCAGTAATGAATCTCTACTGCATCAGTAATGAATCTCTACTGCGTCAGTAATGAATCTCTACTGCATCAGTAATGAATCTCTACTGCATCAGTAATGAATCTCTACTGCATCAGTAAGCTAGAGATTCATTAAGTATAGGAAACCATTACAAATATCTGAACTGTAGTGGAGTGAAAGGTAACATTTAAATGAAGGTACTCAATTCTACTTGGTAAACTTCCATCACCGATAACCATGACTTGTTTTTAACTTATTTCTTTTCATTATCAAATCTATTAAAAAAACACTAATTAATACTTTTGAGCATTATTGCAAAATCCTCTCATACCTCCACCTACATCCAAGTATCAAAACAATGTTAATTCTTAATCAATCTCAATGTTATATTGTTTTTCTTCTGATTCTGCAGATCGAATAAAGACAAAGCAACACGTCTGAGTGGCATAGGTATGCATGTGAATCATTCATATAATGTAAAATGTATTATGAATGTATATTAGTTATTTGAATTTTTCACATACAAGAAAAAAATGCTCTATCAAACACTCATTTTATTGTTTTTATTTGTCTCTCAACTCTCAGGTGAGAAGCTGATGTGGTTTCAGGAGAATTTGGATACAGAAAAGACGGCGTTCACCAAAAAAGATGCCTGTTACATTGTTGAGAGGTCAGACATTTGTGGTTTATGTTGATTTAGTTTTTGCCACCTGTCTTTTCAAGTTTAAAATAAATACCAATATTGACACATAAAACAAAGAAAGACGCATCTGTAACCATATGATTTTGACAGAGCTTGTGTGTGTGTGCAGGTACCTCCAGAGGTTTGAACCTGAACTGGAGCAAATTGAGCTGGTGAACGGCATCAAAGGTCGGCAGGGTCGTCTCCATGGCGCCAGGGAAGCTGTCGTCAAACAAACCATGGAGCGAGAGCTGGAGCAGTACAAGAACGTCGGGTTCGGTGAGTACACATAATGTCAATGTGTGTGTGTGTGTATATATATATTAGGGCTGTCAAACGATTAAACATTTGAATCAGATTAATCACAGCTTAAAAATGAATTAATCAGATTAATCACCATTTGAACTATGTCCAAAATATGCCATTTCTTTATGTATATTGTTGTGGGAATGGAAAGATAAATGAAAGAAGGCGGATATATCCATTTAACATACAGCATGTATGCATGTTTATTATAACATTGTTCTGGGTGTCAAAATGAAAGACAGCCCACACACCTATCAATCATCAAACCGTGGGGTCTTATTTCATTACGTGTTGATAGAAATCAACACGTAATGTTGTATCGATGTATATAGAGATGTACTACAGCAAAAGTATTCTCCGTCGGGACTTCCTGCAACAACATAACGCCGTTATCTTGATTCTGATTGGCCAGAAGACATTATCAAAGATGTTCTATTGAGAAGACAATCACTACGTGAGAAAAGTTTTCAAAACCATTTCTGGTCTTCGGTATTTCCAGACAAGTGGCTACTGAAATCAATCTTACTACTAACTGCTGTCTGTGCAATTTACTCCGCGCGAGTTGGCAGACTTTATTTTGCTTCCTTTAACATCATTTCTCATGGTGGGGCTAAGCCATTTCTTGGTATGGCTGTAGCCTACCCCAGCCATACCCTGGCGCCGCCACTGGTGGGATGTATGGGACGGGCCATTCTGCGCATGCGTTAAATAAATGTTTATCGCAATTAATTCCAAAAATGAATTACCGCCGTTAACGCGATCATTTTGACAGCATTAATATATATATATATATACACTCATATGATTTACATTACATTGCATTTAGCTGACGCTTTATCCAAAGTGACTTACAATAAGTGCGTTCGACCATGAAGATACAAACTTGAATAAAACAGAATCATATCATCAGGTTTCATAGAGCCAACACATTTCAAGTGCTACTCCACTGGCTTTAGATAAGCCAGTCCTTTGTTAGTATATGAGTGCTTTGTTAGTAATTGTATTGCTCGAAGTGGAGTCGAAAGAGATGAGTTTTTAGTCTGTGCTGGAAGATGTGTAAGCTATCATATACAAGTACAAGCTATCATATACAAGTACATGCTCACTTCCAGTGTTGGAAAGTCCTCCATGATCCTATTTTGTCTTTTTCAGAGATCCCAGACATCATAAATGCTAAGAACCTTAAAACATTCAGGTGAGTGGGTAGAAAATAACATATTTTATTTTCTGTTTATTACAATGTATGTTTTTGAAAAGCAGCCATGGCGATCCAGTTTAGCAGTTTGACGAACCCGATCATACAAAAAACGAATTTAAAATGTTAATTCAAAGTATTTACGTATGGGCAGATTATAGAATTTATTTTTCGTTTAGTTTGACATTTATTTATTATTTTTCTTTAATAGAATTGTGACTTTAAGCACGTGATCATTCATAAACCACAAAGTTTGATGACGTGTTATTTCATTGATTAGGGAGTGGACTGGTGACGTGAAGAAACTTCCAAATATCAAACTGCGAAAGGTGTTCAAAAAAGACTTGGAGACAAAGAATGAAGAAGATGATAAACCTGAAGATGATGATGATAATAAGGATGATGAAGATGATTTGGATGATGACCAGCTAGATGAGGATGTGCTGATGTCGGACTTACTCTGAACATTTTGGTAATGGACTGTAGCTCAAATCTTAGGTCGTCCTTACGGGATAACTGACTGCAGGGCTGAACATCAGGCGGCTGCTGCTCCACCTCTGTCCTGAAGGTGGTGCCAGACTTCAAAATGGAAAACTAATCTTGTATCACTTCTTCAATGCTCAGTAACTCCACAGCAGCCTGTGAGGGGTTCTACATTCATTGTTTATTGCACAAACACATATGAGCTGTATGCAACCTGAATACTGCCATTTGATCCAATCAGAGATAGAAAAAAGGTTTTGACAAAGATGTGAGTGCTCTTTATGTCGTGGTAGCTGTAAGACAGAGAACATGTTATTTTCTGTGACCTGACAGATTAAAAAACAAATCAAACCTGTAGGTGTGAACAACATTCACCTCTTTCTGTGTATACTTGTTACTGACTCACACTGTGTGTTAAGTCTAAATGCGGCAGAGTGCAAAAACACAATCATCAACAACTGGGCTACTTGAGATTAGCTAATTAGGAAATCTTCAAACCTGGCCTCTGATAATAAATCAGCTTTTTCAAAAACATTACATCTTCAGATTTTAACACTGAGCTTTACATACTGTTTAGACAATATTGTTCTACTTATCGCATCTTGACTCTTTGGTGTCTGAAGTCCTGAAAGAGAGTTAAGGCATCAGTATGCTTCAAACAAAGCCCTGGTCGGATTATCCTCAGCATCTGAAGCGGCTTTCACGTGTGCCTAAAAATATCATGTCTAATGCCGTTAATGTCTGTCAGAGAGAAATCTAGCTTTTGTGAATTGTGTTTGTAGTCGCACTCACAGCTGAATGAAGCTCCCTTTTCTAAGCAGTAGGGTATACATACAGAAGTTGGTTTGTTTGAAGAATACTGAGACCTTTAATAGCATCCTCAGGGTGAACTCACCTTTAAATCATGTCAGTGCAGTAAAGTGCATACAGGAATAAATCTCAAAATATCACAGCAACTGAAGTCTTTACGGAATCTCTCGCAGGTGGCTTTATTTTCCTTCACATCTCCTCACCTACTCTTCTCTTTGTTACTTTGCATATCCGCGTCCCTTTAGCGTTTCAGTGGAGATGAAATCAGTCCCTGACTCCAGATCAGTCATCGCGGAGCAGAAATGAACATCGCTGAGGTCTAAAAACCACGCACTGCTCACCGTGTGTGATGAGCAGCGCGTGATTCTGGGCTCTTTGTGAGCGTGGGCAGATTTGGTCAGACGGGGTTTTGTGCCGGCGCCACCGCATCCTCCACCGACATCTCAGAGTCCGACTGCTGAGCCTCTGGAGCCGGGGAGGGGGCCGGGCTGATGGGGACCTCCACCGTCCCCTGCTTGCCGTTGGTCAGGGTGCTGTGTCGGGGCGGAGGGTGGTGCACGTCCTTCTCAGGGCAGTTCTGCACCGTGATGATGCGGTTGAAGGCCTTGAGGCGGCGCCACAGCTGCAGGTAGACTTTACACTGGATGTACATGAAGATGAGGCCGCCTGTGAGGCCGATAGCCACCATGATCAGCTTCGTCCAGAAGGGCCACTCGAGCACACCTGAGGACACACACACACACACACACATCAGCTGTTAACCAACAGGCAGGCTGTGGGATGGATCATGATGGTGCTAGTGATGATGGTACTGTGTGCAGAGCTGTGCTTACCACCTGGCATGTATTTGTAGTACTTCAATAGAGAAACTCTCCATAATTCGTCTGCAATCAAGAGTGAGTGTCATTTTTTAATTTCTGTGACCTATGAATATACATTTCTATGCTATTATTAATTATATACACTAATGATATATATTAGGCTTATTAAAGTGGAAATAGAGAACTTTTAAACTCCTCGCTGTAAGCAAGACAACTTTTTATTTTAGAGCCTACTACCAGCCACAAACTCAGTGATTATTACAGACAATCATGCCAAAAGCAAGAATACATTCAAATATGTTTTACTGTAAACCATTTACAAAGCTACCCTTTGAGGGTCTCCTCCTCTGGCAATGTGCAGTCTCTCCCTCGCTGCAGCCGACACAAACCAGGCTTTATGAAAATGAATGAGCGATGATGAAGACTTTTGGAGCTAGGGGCTGGATGCTTTTATTGGACAAGAGTAGGCAACGCTGCCCAGAACACAATGGTTTTTAATTCCAAATCAAGCCTTTATTTCCCCAGGAGACTGTACCAACTGACGGACAGAAGTGCAGGGGGAAAGTGAGGTTTGAAGGGAACCAGTGTAACAACAATGGGGTCATTATTCTGCAGACAGTACATTGTGAAACTGATATTTACTTTTATAATTTTTGATTGAAACAAAAATTAAAACTTGTCTATTGCCACTTTCTATATGAAAATGATAGTAGTGTTACGCTATAATCACAGCACCACAAACTACACCGTCAACAAACAAAACCTCAGAGGGACCTATTCTCACTGTGACAACCTGAAATAAGATTTAAGTTGTTGTGATCATCAGGATTTAACAACTATCGTGTGACCTGTCCAAGTGAAAACTCTGAACTACCTGCTCACTTAAAGAAAAGGATTATCCAATTATCTTAAAATAAAGTGTATTTACATGTTATAGCCAGTAAGTGATTGACTCCTCACATTATGAAAACTAGTATTTCCAAGCTTAATTTGTCATTTGTAAATAAATGAATAATAATATTCAAGAACATTGAAGATGTGTCAAACCCAAAATGCATGAGAGGCATAAATTGAATAATACACACTTTTCTAGATTTAGAAAAAGCTAAAAACACTGAGTGACTACACTGGATCTGTGAACAATCACATCACCAGAGTCTGACAGTATGTAACGATCTACAGGGGAAAAGTTAAAGGTACCCTGTGGAGTTTTGACCACAAGGGGAGCTGCTGCGCGGTTAATCATTATATTATTTGTATATAATAACATGAAATGACTTGTATGTAGTCATAGTATATATATTGTAATATGAGACACATACAAGACATACTACATACTCATTTAGTTTGTCTTTTCTTCTTGTTTATATTTTTATTTTAGTAAGGGGAAAACTGTCAGAACCCACATTTCCCAGTGGAATGAAAAAAGTATTTCTGATTCTGAATAATTCGTTTTTCTTTATTGTACACTGCATGTCTCCGCAGCTTCTCGTGACCATGTGACAAATCAAACTTTAGATTTTTAAAGGACAAGAACATGGCAAGCTGATGTAAACAATGCATTTTATTGCATTTGCAAATGCTTGTAGAGGTCAAATCCAAAACTCCCCATGGTACCTTTTGCCTTAGACCATAACACTATAACTCTGCGTGTCTCTGGGATGTGAGAGAGGGAAGGGGGGGGGGGGGGGTTGAGAACTCACCGTTCCTCCCAATTTTGATCTCTTCTGAGGTTCTCAAGACCAGAACGAAAACTGATAAAAGAATACACGTTACTGCTAGCAGGTGAAAGACCACCGAGAAGAAGATCTTCCTCCTCTCGCCCGTTGACATGTTTAGCCTCTCCCACTGGGAGAAGGAGGGATTGGGGAGAGTTTTTAGAAGAGGGAGAGAGAAATATTTTCATTATTGCAGCCTGACAATAGATCTCAGTTCATAGCTGTGAATGGAGTATATGAGTGTGACTGCCTACCATGCACAAAGGTTTGAGCGTCATCTCCATGACGAAGTCAAACTTGCAAAGTTCACAGCAGCGAGTGTCCGAGGACCTGATCCACTGGTTGAGACAGAACTGGTGCACGAAACTCAGACTCCCCGTGCACCGACAAGGCGTTATTAAGGCGCACTCGTCATCCCCCTCACAGTGGCAGATCCTACACACACACACACACACACACACACACACACACACACACACACACACACACACACACACACACACACACACACACACACACACACAGAAAATAAACATTAAGTACTCACACATAAGCAAGTCGGTTATTTTACAAATTTGAGGTACTTTTACTTCCCTTGAGTATTTTCTTATCATACCCCCTTACACTTATTTGGCATCTTCTAATCATGAAATGACATGAATGGATTACACTTTTGGGGTATCTACTGTCTCCCTGACCAAGAGAAGTTCCCTTTTTGGACCATGACCTTTAATTATGAAAGTGATATTGATGGATGATACGTGGACACACCAACACTGAAATAAGCCTCACAACAACCCACTCACCTGCAGACATCCGTATCAGAGTCGTCAGAGTACTGCGCCTGTGTGCTTCCGTTCATAGCACAGTGATTCTGAGGTGTGGGCACTGACATGTCGCCCCCCCCTGCCCCTTTCTCCTGGTATCTCTTGTTGATGAGCTCCTCTCCGTCCGCGGACAGTGAGGAGGAGTCTGACTTGGAGCTCTTCTCCTTCTCCCTGCTCTGTGAGCCTCCTCTCTGTGAGCCTTCTCTCTGTGAGGCGTGCTCGTCCCTCTTCACGGAGGCCCGGCTGCTGCTGCTGCGTTTCTTCAGCCCGGCGCTCTCCTCCACCAGCGGCAGGCTCTCCTTCCCTTCATCCGAGCACACCGACTGCAGCTCCATCACCTTGTCTTCTTCTTTCCCCTCGTTGGCTCCATCCCTCTCCCGGCTGCTTCCGCTGCGGTGCCTCACTCTTCGGGCTTTCTCTTTGCTCCAGCTGCGGTCCTCTCGCTCTGCCTCCTCCTCAGAGGTGGAGTCAGAGGGCGGGCCCCCTGCGGTGCGGAGGCGAGGGGGGAGCTCTCTCCGGGTCTTGGCCGTCCGCTCCTTCTTCTCCCCGAGCTCGCTGCGGTCAGCGCTGAGGCTGCTCTCGCTGTGCTCCGGTTTGTCGTTGGTTTCCACCAAGTCGGGGGAGCAGCTGCTCTTCTTGCGGCGGTGGCGGCGCTTCATCTGCTTCTTCTGGGCCGGAGCAGCCGAGCCCAGAGTCGTGTTGGTGACGCTCATCACAGAGCTGTGGGTGGGCTTCTCAGGTTTCTGAGACTCAGAGACATCCTCCTCTACACGGGTCAGCTGGCTAGAGCTGAACACGCACGCACACACACACACACACACACACACACACACACGCACACACACACACACACACACACACACACACACACACACACACCACACACACACACATGCACGCACTCACGCACGCACACACACACACACACACACACACACACACACACACGAGACAAACAGAGAGATGAAGATGTGTAAAAGAATAATGTGAAGTAAAATGACATGAAGTGTGGCGACATTAACTAAACAGCTACTCTGAAAAGGACATACAGTAGTTTATGAGTTAGCAACTATTTAGCACGGCAGATCGTTTTGTCCTTATATGCCCTGGTCTAAATGTCACTTTTTAACCCAATGCAATGGAGGGGAATTTGATTTACTCTTTGGGGGGAAAAATATTTAAAACAGCTTTTTCCAGAATCTCTGTTACTGTGAAAAAAACACAGACCTGTCTACTGTCAAAATGTTTTGCAGCTTTCTTTAAAAGAAAAAAGTTTACAGTGACATTTCCTAGCACACAATATCATATTCCTAGAAACCTTGAGCTTTCAGTCCACTGTAAGTGACTGAAGGTTGGACTCTCTCCATACCTGGGCAGATATAACTAACTATATCTGCATTTTTTAGGATTCCACTCGCAGAGAGTATTTCTATTATTCTGTAATGCTGAATCTCAATTCATATATCTGAACTGTGGTGAGATCGAGCTCAAGTCAATCTAGAGAAAGGATACGTCTAGATTTGAAATATGTGTCTAATTAAAAATAAAGAACATTAAATTAGCTGTTCCTAGAAACCCCCACCTGCCGGCGTTGGTATATAAAAATAACTCCTAAGATACAGAACAGTGGGACATGATGTACAACTGAATAATTAAGTGAAAAAAATGATCACCAGGCTGGTTAATCAGAATAAGAAATAGTGAATATGGAATCATTTCAGGATGCTATGTAACAGATGGAGATTCACACACTCACATACATCACGTGTCCACACTGCTATAAACAGAGTGTCCTCTCTGCTTTTAACCACAGGACAGAGCCTCTCGACAGGACAACCAACCACCAGTGGATATCTTCCCTTTAATGATTGTGCTTTACACCATTGGTGTTTGGCATCCATTTTAATTGTGTTAACGCCACCTGGGTGCTGAGGCCCGTGCTTAATCAGTCTTTCTATCAGTGGAGATGAAGCTGTAAAATGTGCGGCTTAATGTCACTGAGAGAATTGTGGCTGGAGCTTTTGTTGTCCACATTCTGTAATTCTGGGTAAAACTTAAAGAGAAAGCTGGCTCACCTGCAAATGTCCTGAGAGGACGGGGTGATCGATGTCCTTGAGGCTGTAGCTGGTCCTGCTGTGGAGTTGCTGGCCTAAAACAAGTGGATGAAGATTAACTTCCTGCTAGGAAATCATAACAACTTAAATCAAATATAACATCTTATCAGACTTTGTAGCGATTACATCATCCAAAAATATTGATAATCCATAAATATAAATGATGCTGCAACAATTGTTTGGAACCCAAAATAAGCTGACATATAAAGTACTGCTTACATATTAGCTGTAGAGATTTATTTTATCTTTGGTTTTTCAGAGCAAGTGTTGTGTTGAATTAAAGTGATGATTATATGCAGGTTTATAACTTTGTATTACTTTGAGTAACTCTTCCACATTACACAATGTAATTTGGGTCATAGCTAATAACAACAAATATCAAAGCATCATGTATTGTCTCATGAGTCATACAACAGTGTGTAGATATAGGGGATACGAGCACAATCTTGCACATTAGACTATGCTTGGGTTAACAAAGCTTTCCACCCTTTGAACCGTGACATTGGCCCTTTAAGCTCCCTGATATTCAGCCGTTACCTTGGAGATGTTGCTGGATCGACTCCCTGAGCAGCCGGGGGCCTTCCTCCCCTGCAGGGAGAGGGCGAGACGGAAAATCATTAGAGAACAGGAGATGTTGGTCATTAAAGCACAAAGCGTTTGAATCAGTGATTTATCTAGCACAAAACACTAGGTCATCCATTGATAATACATTTACACAATATTTCCCTCACTTCAGGGTAAGAGCTCAATCATGACATCATGACTTGTTGTAGGTTATTACTATTATGACATTGATTCATAGTTTAGTATATACAAATATGGGAAATGTATGTTATGATGCAAAGCTGTAATGATTTGTAGGAGACAGACAATCTAAAAATGTCCTCATTTAAAGAGCAGAAAGCAGACACTGGGGGCGATTCCTTATTCTTTGTGTTGCAATAGCTAAATATTGGAAATTGGACACGCTAATGCTCTTAATCTGCAATAAAAACAAGGAAAACATTGTAATTAAATTAACCTAATACTACATGTTCAGGAGAATCCATTGTTATTCTGAGTTAACTGGCTGCGCGTTGATTGGTTAAAAACCCCGCGTCAGGAGTTATGCGTTGCCTCGTGTCCTTGTTATTTCATTCTGACCTGGGCTAAAGACAACCAATCCTATTACCTGCTCCTCCTTCTCTAAGTGGATACAATGCTGCTCTGCATGCCATGTGTCTCTATTTATAGCAAACTCATAGCAGGTTTTCTAGAACTTCCCAGAGCGCCGTTTGCCCAACTCAATGGTCAGATCTTGAACTCAACCCTCAGACTGTTGTGACCTTGTTTCCCGCCTGCAGCTTCTTACACAAGTTACCAGAGGGCGATTCTGTGTAGGAGTTACTAAGTACTGAGAGTGACGATACATCGTGAACAAAACAAGATCTTCTGTACAAAACATTTTAAATAAATAATAGATTAAATAACCTAAGAGAAATGTCAGGTTTTGGGTAATTCAGTAGAACACAAATCTGAAAAGAAGTCACATTAACGCAAAAGTTACATAGTTGTATATATATCACAATCTGCCTGTACAACAGACCAGATCATGTATCTCCATCATAGGAAGCAGTGTCCTATCTAGAGATTCTTTGGCTCTAAATGCTAGAATCTCTTGGCAGATATCTAAAAAGAGAATGTTGACTCTATACTTACTATTGGGACAGTTATAATTAGACACTACCAGATTGCAACAAGAAATCTTACTTGAAAAATGTCTGATTTTCTTTTCAAATCGAATTACCAACATCACTTCTTTCAGTTGGCTTTCATCCATAGCTCAAATAGTAATGTTTCTGTCGGAAAAGTGCATTACATATAGGTTTGACCATGTGATGGAGACACGAAGGATGACCTGCCACTGGAAAATTAAGTAAGACATCAAATAGAGTGAAAATTAAACAGATATTCGATTGTATAGTTTATATATCGTCTAAAGGTATTTACAGATTGTGATGCTCTACGCTCTCTTTGCAGGTGAGTGGCATGGACACTAATTGCTGCCTCCCAGTATATCTTTGTCCTCATCCTGGGAATAATTAAAGGGCAAGTGTGAGAGGACCTGAGGGATCTAGGTGGAGCAAACATGGAGAGCATGTCCGACAGGAATTCCGGCGCTAATCCATGAGTCATTTGAACACGAATAAAAGGTTCTTAAAAGATATTCTACATGGAGAAGCAACCAGAAAAGGGACTTTAGGAAAGGTTGGATGTGAGCTCTGGTGTTTGTATAAAATCAATAGCTTTGATATTTAAGAAGAAAGGAGAGGTGTACTTGTTTGTGGTTATTGTTTTATTTTTGACATAAAGAGAGAAATGGCATTTATTTTTTGAAGTCAATTATATACTTAAATATTTTGGACATGAAAATATATTGCGTCCCGATACTGTAGTTCCGCAGCAATGTCATGAATGAATATGCCTGCTTACATGCTATACATGTTAGAGGTCTGTTTGTACAATTTTTGAATAATAACGCAATTGGTGAGCTGTGAAGTTATATGCTTTACGTAACTTACCGGATATACACCGAGTTCAAAGTTGATGCTAGCAACGTCACATGTGGGTGGCTTCTTTAAATATATTTTACTTGAAATATGAAGAACAGAGCAGAGTTTGCCTGAACCAACCCACACACAGACACAGTTGTATGTAGTCAGTGAAATAAAAGAGACTTTGACAGAGGAAGAGTGCTTGGTCTAATCTGATCAAAGGATTTGCTGACAGCCAGGTTTAAATCAGTAGATCTGTGTGGAGTGCAAGGCACACACTCTGCAGCCTCCTCAGGAAGTGAGATTACAGAGGAGACATGGACTTGGAGTAATGCGCGATTGTAATGTTTGGTAGTTTAACAAGACACATCAGTTATTAATTGAGTCGTAAAAGAGATCCATCCATCCGATATAACTACTCCAAAAATGTAGGTAAAAAAAGATCCATCAAAGATAAAAGTCTATTTAATGGTATTTGTCCCGCTCATTTGAGCTGATGACACTGCAGGACGCTCAACAATGTCTTTACAGAAGTCTGACTGCGAGAAGCTCATTCTGCTATTTTGGCAGAGGAAAGAAGTGCCTTGTGTTAATATCTGCCAAACTAAGCTGACCAAAACTGCATTTAGAGAGATTTTGAAAAGCAAACCATGTGAAATTATTAAGTTGTGGCATACATGTTAATTTCACAACAACAGAATGTAGTGTAGAGTGCTGTTCTTTAGAAATAGGATGGCGATAACGTGTTTTAATTACAATTAGATGAGATGATGAGAATATTACCTATGACACCAATATGTAGGATTCTTAAAAAAACACGTCACAAAGCTAGGGTAGCACTTTCCCCAAACGTGTAGTCTTTGTGCCAAGCTGAGATAAACACAACTGAAGATGTTAAACTGATATCTGTCTCCTCATTTAGCTAGCAACAGTGTTTTTCAAATGTCAGTGCATTCCAATGAAGGCACAATGACAGATTCAAAAGTACTCCCTCTGCCCCCCTAGAGGTGTATGGCGCTGTCTGTATTGAGAGACCTTTCCCTCTGTTTCCTTTCTTTATTTTCTTCTTCGAAGAGAAAGCTTTTTATTTATTTAAATGTTATATTATTTAACTTTTTTAATTTGTAATGCTATTTTATTTCTATTTCTGAAATATTTTGGACTGTTTATATCTTGTGTCTTAATTTCTCTTATGTACATTGCCTTGTGTTTTTATCTATCTATCTATCTATACACAGCACAGACAGAAAATCAATGTGTTGAACTACAAGTATAGATTGTGGTTGATTGTCAAAATATTACTGCAAATTACTTCAGCATTTTCAATATCATTGTCTTTATTAACCTATGATAATGAACCTCTGAACGGAAGATAAAATAAACAACAAAAATCGTTCACCTGCTCACGAGCACCCTTTGAATGTTGTTTGCTATCTTTGCTTTGTCATCCATTCTCATTACTTTCCTTTGTCTGAGAAGCCCTTTAAGTCTGTTCAAACAGTGTAGCAACTGTACTGTACACTGGTGTGTGTACAGTGCATGGTACACATACTCAGATTCCACATGTCTTTCGCTCTTATGACTCCTGTACACAGAGAGACTGCATAATAAACTTTTAAAGAGGCAAATGATCTATTCCCATAAACGTACGAGCCAATATCTTGAATTCCTAAAAGGCTCGTACAGTTGAACACTGGACTGTTAGTCTCCATACAGACTGCCACAAATCCAAAGATTATTCTCCTCACCCCAGGCAGAGAACCTGCAATGCATCATTCTAAGCGTTCTGAATCATACGCCTGACAGTCCTAAGAATCACCAAAACTGAAGTTAGATTTCAAGTACAGTTAACTTCACACAGGATCACAGCTAAACATACAACTCCTTCCTGCCGGAGCCTCGTACCAGCCTCAACTCAGATTTCAGCGGTGATGAAGTGCAGCATTAGAGTTCACATCTTGCGCTCCCTTACCTGAGCGCCTGCTCCTCTGCCAGCACTCTGAATCTGATGCTCAGCACAGTCTTTGGTGAGTCTTTGTGTGGACATGTGCATGTTTCTGCGGAGGGGATTGAGTGATCCAGCGTTGACCGAGGGCTATATTTTGTTTCTGTGCTCTGGCTCAGGATCAAAAAACACCTACAGCTACATTTAGACAACCAACCATGAAGCTGCAGCTGCACAGATCATATTTGGTTATGGCATGTCTAACAGAGCCTTAAGATAAGGAAATAAGAAGAATATCCTAAATTATAAATCCATCAGCAGGGTTGAGTTGTTGTGGTTGTCTCTGTGGCAACACAACCAAAACAACCAAGTAGCTGTCCTCATCACATTCTGACTCCAAGTTGTTTCATTCTGATTGGTCCAGGGGAATCACATTTTTTCAACACAGTTTCATCCACCCCAAACCAGCAAAAAGAGCATATAAATAAATAGAGAAATCAAATATAGAAATCCCCCATGATATGAAACAAATATAAAGAACGAGACAGCTTTGTTCAAACTCTGGAAGATAACAGGATGTAATTTAAAGATAATATTTGCATCACCTAGGTAAGACTTTAAAGAGAATATCCAATGCATTTGAAAAGTAGGGTAGGTAAGAATGGAGAAACCAGCTCGAGTGCGCTAGAATTTGAAAGTACGCAGCCGAAAAAAATCTGCCCCTTCTTTCAGACTTCCTTACAGAGCCCCTCCTCCAACACACACGAACGCACACATGACCAATGAGGGCACGAGATAAGTTTGTGCACAGATGGAAGGCTGACAGGCAGGTAGGCCATCCAGTTATTTTAGCCGGGCTCAGATGATTGGTCGTGCTTTTTACAGCGCCACGGCTTCCACAGATGACATTTTTTAATGGATCTTTTGTCAAAGCATTTCATTCATTGCTATCGGGATGTTAAGAGCATTCCATGGAATATAACAAAAAGTGTTTCTGAAGTGAATTACCTACCCCACCTTTAAATGTTACACTTCCATGTGTTTTCCTTCATAAACTGTTTTTTGAATTTCCAGTAGAATCTTTACACATCCAAGATGTTTAAAGGACCAACTAGTGTGCTCGTAAACCAGCTCTTAATAGCTAAGTTAATGGATATCAAAAAGTGGGGCTGAAACAAGCAGAAGACAACTTACAGGTCTATCAAATTAAATGTTATATTACTATTGCTTTTGTATTTGGGCTTGGTTAAATGTAATTTGTATTAAGAATTATTTAATTAGAAGAAAATGCGAACCCAAGACCTGCATCATTCAATAAGCGTATTCAGTGTGTTAGTTTCTGCTTATTATGTTTATACGCTGGTTGTTTGGTCTGTTTAGCAATATTTTTGATAGCCGAGTTGATGGAAGCGCTGTGTGTGTGTGTGTGTGTGTGTGTGTGTGTGTGTGTGTGTGTGTGTGTGTGTGGGTTTGTGTGTGTGTGTGTGTGTGTGTGTGTGTGTGTGTGTGTGAGTGTGTTTTCAGGTCAGAGGTCGGACTGGTGACAACAAGCAATCGCTATAATACCAACTTCATGGCAAGGAGAATAGATAATATGTGTGGAAGCCAGGCACTGAGAAGAATATACTGCTGTTACATTAAGTATGACACAAATACTTGTTTTGGTAACTTGTAAATTAGCCTCAGCTTTTTGTTCATAGCAATCAGCTGTGAAATTGGTGTTTATAAGGTCTGTGTCTTCGGGTTTGACATTTCTCTGTTCTGCATTGGAACGGATCGCAGCTTTCAAATAATGGAAGGTCTGTGCGGAAGTTTTTTGCCCCATGAAGATGTCTAGTTAAAACTCATATAGCTGTTGTGATGACTGCAGGTTAGTGAATAAATGAGAATGGTGCCAAAAATGAGGAAGTGAAACAATTTTCTACTACAGTTACTGACGTCAGGGATTATATGTTCCTCAGTAGGTTTGCAGTGACGCCATTATCAACAGAAACATGTATTCTTATTGGAATCAAAAGACTGAATAATCACAAAACAATACAGTTACAACCACGATTTGTAAACGGTTTAGTTTTCAGAAATACTCAACACTACTTTGAATGCTCTCTGCTTTCAGACAAAATGACTTTGTAGCCTTGTGCATGTAACATAACATGATGTGAAGTGATGCAATGTTACATATGTATCATTATGTTCTATGATGGTTCATGATGTTCAATGAGGTGCTACTGTATGATGTGATGTCAGGCTGACAGAAGACGCAGTTGAAAGCATGAAACCCCAAGTGAGGGAGCAGTGATAAAAGGTTGCTGAGTGCAAGCATGTACTGTATGCCTGAGTGACTCTGTGAGTTCAAAAAACTGTCAGCTGATACTGGTGGCTGACACACACACACACACACACACACACACATGCAAACTCCTCTACAGTCATCAATACTCAAGGACCAATCAAAAGACTTCTACTTTCAAACAAAACAGAGCTGGATCTTCAAACTTTAGATTCAAATCTGAATAACTTTGCACTGGTTTAAAGCCTCAAATGAAACGGAGAGAAACATATGAATCCACAAAGCTTTTTCTGTCATCTTAACGGCTCAGGAGCAAAGTTAGGAGGTCAAACACTTACCTCCGTTTTATCCTTTGAACGAGTAGAGCTTTTACCATTGCTGGCTGTTTCCTTGGTCGGAACCACAGTTATCTGTTGTACTGGCATGCTGCTGTTTCCAGGCAACGCTTCCCGATGTTACTCCCACAGCATTCCCAGCACGGCTCACTTTCCCGTCCTCCGCTCCGCGTCCCTGTGTTTGAGATCGGTTTTCTCATCAACAAGCTGTCTCCGGGGAAATCCGTGTCCTCTTTCAGCCCAATCCGGATCCTAAAGAGGAGGGGAGATGTAGTGGGATCAGGTCACCGCGGCAACGGGAAGATAGCTCTGAAGATGGACGGGTGTGATATCGTCATGACGACTGTGAAGCTACTCAACAGTGCTCACCACCTCCTCCTCCTTATTCTCTGCCCTCCTGCTGAGAGAGAGAGAGTTGAGATCGAGCCGAGCAGTAAACAAGGATGCAGGGGGAAAGTGGGTTGTTGCGACGTGTGTGTGTGTGTGTGTGTGTGTGTGTGTGTGTGTGTGTGTGTGTGTCTTTCTTGGAGGGGTGGAGCCAGGATTTGATCGTACTTGCTTTGCTTGGTAATAAGCATAAGGTCCACAAGGATTAGGGGTTAGCCTAACCTCAATCTCCTCCTCTGACCAGTTGTACTGCTAATACGCTTACTCAACTTGTGCAAATGGACAGCAGCCGCACGCACGCACGCACACACACACACACACACACACACACACACACACACACACACACACACACACACACACACACACACACACACACACACACACACTGTCTGATTGTTCAGGAACTCCCTGCTGGCTGAGAAACAGTGTGTTGATTGATGTAAAGCTGCCCTATTTCTTCCTTTAAAAAAGAAAAAGGCCAATTAATCGTCTATGTGACCCGCCATGAAGACAAAAACCTTTCACAACCATAGTCAATGTCTTCAGAGAAAGTGTGTGTGTGTGTGTGTGTGTGTGTGTGTGTGTGTGTGGTGTGTGTGTGTGTGTGTGGTGTGTGTGTGTGTGTGTGTGTGTTGTGTGTGTGTGTGTGTATGTGTGTGTGTGTGTGTGTTTATGGTGGAGGTTTTAATTCTATTTCAGATTCTCTCAGGTCATGAGGATTATGATTGATATAACTGGAAAATGGGAGACTTACAGTGATCAGTCAAATCCGCAGCTTACTGAGGTGAAGAGGTGAACTCTCGTGCACTGGGCAGTGACTGTCCGCCATTTTTTAGATTCAACATTCAAAGCGCTTCCCTGATGCTTTCTTATGATTAGAACAAACAAAATGAATACATTGAAGCTAATCTGGAATTTTAAACCACAGTTTGTAGCATGTCCAAGTTGTTTCATAATAGATGAGGTTGTTCTTGTGCCAGAGCCAGAAAAACCTAGAGAGAACTGGCAACAATAATGCATGGCTAAGATTGACGCAGCAATAGATGTTGTTCAATTAATTAAATCACTTTGATAAACATTTCTGTTTAATTTGAAAGTTTAAGACAATTGCGTGAATTAAATGTCGCTAACAACCCAATATTATTTTACTTTTTTAGACGTGACTGTGTTTTTAACTTTAGTTCATTTGTTACGTTTTTCTACAGATGAGTAGGTGTGCATTAAGTTGAGGAATATTTACCACAGTGTAAACAAAAGACTAACACTGTATTTGTTGTGTCATAAACAGGCTGTAGTGAAACTCTTACATGGTTTGTTTTGCATATATTATCCGGTAAATACCTGCACACATTTTATACAACCTTGACAACAGTATGCATTACCTGTCTAGATTGTTACGGACTCTGTTCTATTTCGTATAACGCTTCGCCCTCTAAGGCTATCGCTATTGGGTAATCCCACTGCACGTGTGCAGCACTGACAGACTTAATCCACGCCCACCTATGACGTGGGCCCCACCTATGACGTGGGCCCCACCTACGGACTCACTTCCGTATAAATAGGAAGTAGTCCCTACAATCTGCTCCCACTTTTCTTCAGCACTCCGTTGCAGAAGCACTGTACAGGCACAAGCTCTTTTCAGAGCTGTTTACTAGAAAGCAAACATTTCCCCCTGGCCCCATCCTCCCTCTCCTCCGGACGGGGGAGACAGGGCGGGGCTCGGTGTTAGCCGACATATGAGTTACGACCGGCTGTGGCTGGCTCGCTCCAGGGAGGAAGCGGCTTTACACAGACGATACAGGTGAGTCCTGCCGGGGATTGGAGCACGCAAACGCGACTCTCACTCCCCAGGTGTCGTGCACTCATTGTGTCCGTCTCCCTCTGGCCCACAGACAGCGGAGCGCGAACGCTCTCGCGGCTGCGGCCGGGGATGATTGGCTAGTCCAGGAGTCCTACTTTGTGGACCAAGCCCTTGATTATTGGATCCGAGTGGCGGGCAGCAGTCAGGCGACTCCTTCCCCTCCATGCCTCCACACACCGTTCATTCCTCAAGCGGGTTTGAGCGTGAACGCGCCTCAATGTCCGGTTTACGAGCCTTCTCCTAAACGGCGACATGATGAGAGCCGCTGTGCAATACAGCGTGTGGAGGTGCAAGAGTCGGCTGTAACCTGTCAGTCAGCAGGCAGCATGGCTCGTGGCGCAAGCCAGCTGTATTTAACCAGGCGGTTATTAGACAGCAGGGCTTGACGTTTAAACCTGATGCTCCTAACCTGTCGGTTAGCAGGCAGCACGGTTTTTTTCCTCTGTCCCAGATGTGCCTACTACACACGGTCGTAATGAGCCCAGGGCTGTTATTACGCACTGTGTGAATAGCACTGCACACACCTCCGCTCATTCCTCAGCAGGTTTGAGCGTGAACGCGCCTCAATGTCCAGTTTACGAGCCTTCTCCTAAACAGAGACAGGATGAGAGCCGGTGTGAGATGCAGCGTGTGGAGGCCCCCTCGCAGCTTTTCGGTCCGGGCCCCTCTTGGGTTGCTTCACGGGCAACGGCGGCGAGGGCTCTGACGTGGCTCGTCACCATGACAACCACAGCACATCCAGAGCATGTCGCGCGCTCTCAGAATATTACTCAGAGTGGCGACGCGTGTGTTCGATGGACAGATGAATAATAATAAGCAGCAAGGCCCACCGGGTAAGCCGGCTGCCCCTAACCTGTCAGTTATAGGCAGCATGGCTCGCTGCATAAATCGGCTGTCTTTAAAACCTATTGGTTTTTAGGCAGCTCGGTTTTTCTCCTCTGTCCCAAACCTACCTCCTACACACGGTTGTAATGAGCCCACGAGTGCCATTATTACAGTGAGGACAGCACTGCACACAGCTCCGCTCATCCCTTAGGGGTGTTGAGCGTGAACGCACCTCGGTGTCCAGTTTAACACTGTAAGCAATTGCTGTTATTTTACAGCCAATTTTCAACACTAATCTACTGGCGGTCCCCTAACCAGAATGTTACTGTGAATTATTTAATTTTTTACAGTAATAAACTGAAATTGTTCAACAGTATGAATACTATATAATTCCAATGTATTGCTGGTGTCTCTGCTGCCAGTATTTTACTGTTAATTGAAAAAGTACAGCAGTATACTGTATTTTATTTTTACTGTAAAGTCATTTCACAGTATGAGTACTGTGGTATTACAGTGAAGTGCAGGCATCTGTGAAGAGACTGCCGGCACTTTACTGTTATTTGACAGGAAAATGTGTTACAGTGGACATAATGAGAGCCTGTGTGAAATGCAGCGTCTGGAGGGCTCTGGCGTGGCTCGTCACCATGACAACCACAGCACATCCAGAGCAGGTTGGCGCGCTGAGTGGCGGCGCGTGTGTTCAATGGACAGATGGAAGATAATATGCAGCAAGGCTCCCCGGTTAAGCCGGCTGCCAATAGCCTATTGGTTACTTGGCAGCATGGCTCGCTGCCTAAGCCGGCTGGGTTTTTTAACTTATCGGTTAATAAAACAGCAGGGCTTACTATTCAATCCGTCTACCTTTAAACTTTTTGGGTTTAGGCAGCACGGATTTTTTCTCTGTCTCAGACGTACCTCCTACCCACGATCGTAATAAGCCCACGGAGGGCCATTATTACGCATTGTGTGGACAGCACTGCACACACCTCCGCTCATCCCTTAGTGATGTTGAGCGTGAATGCGCGGTTTACGAGTCTTCTCCTAAACGGCGACATATTGAGAGCCTGTGTGAAATGCAGCGTGTAGAGGGCTCTGGCGTGGTTTGCCACCAACCACAGCACATCCAGAGAATGTACACCCGGCGCTATCAGAGTACTGTATGGTACTCAGGGTGGCGGCGCGTGTGTCTGATGGACAGATGGATGAGCAGGCGGATGGGCAGAGGATAGTCTCTGCAGTTCGCCTCTCCCCCCCGCAGTTCTACGGGATACAGGGAACCCTGTCATCCCGGAAACAGTGTCTCGCGCTCCGTGCAGAGCGGCAGGAACTCTTGTTAAAAGAAAGCTTTTTTCCAGGGTTCCTCATGGGGAAGAAAGTGACAGCTCTCCTCCGGCGTGTCACACCCCGCGGGGCGGTGACACCACTCTCCGTGATGCAGCTGTTAGACATGATATCAGCTGGTCACGTGGTGATTCCCCTGGGTCTCCTTCATAGTGAAGAGACTCCAGAGGTGGTTTATTCGCCTGTGCATCGACCCCGTGCGTCAGAGGAGACGCATGGTGTACATTCCTCCTTCCATGGTTTTGGATTTGACCTACTGGAAAAATCTCCACGTCCTGTCAGTGGGGGTGCCCCTGAGCAGAGTGACGTCACACACCGCAGTGTTCACAGACGCATCTCTCGCAGGCTGAGGAACGTGCATGTCGCAGGCAGTGGGGGGACAGTGGCTGGTTCACATGTCTCTCCATATAAACGTGCTGGAATTACTCTCCGTATGGAAAGTGCTCCAGCACTTCGTCCCGTTGCTGTACAATCAACATATGTTGATTCAAACAGACAACAAAGCAGCGGCGGCCTACATAAATCGCCAGGGAGGTGTTCGATCAGCGCAGCTGCTAAACACACATCCTACACAGCCAAATGGACAGCATTCCGTGTGGTGTGCAGGGAAAAGCCTGGACCCCGTTGGGCCCCCTGCCTCGTGCTGTCGTTCCTCCAGCTGTTGCTGGACAGGAATTGGCTTATAGCACGGTAAAAACATATGCTGCTGCCATTTCATCTTGCCACGTAGGTTTGGGGTCAGCACGGTGTTTAGTCACCCGCTGACAAAACGTTTTCTACGGGGAGCACAGAGACTCAGACATGTGTCACGCGCTTTGGCGCCTCAATGGGTTTTTGGCTTAGTGTTACGCGCACTGAGTAAAGCTCCATTTGAAACTTTAGATCAGGTCCCCCTAAAGTTCTTGTCAGCCAAAGTAGCTCTGCTATTGGCTCTGACATCAGCTAAAAGGGTGAGTGATTGGTCTGCTCTCTCTGTGGCTCCGTCATGTCTCCAGAT